TAATAGTTCAGTTATTTTAACATTTAATTTTTCCTCTGGCTTTGAATTTTCTGGCTGGAAAGTTATTGGGAGCATAAAGTGGAGGGAAGCTATAAGTTTCTAAATCTCTGCAGTCAAGTTAATTTGTATAGTGTATAATTATAGGAGCTGTTCTTTTTCAAAGAAGGCCTGTATAAATTCTTCTAAGTCCACTTAAGTCCTTGCTTACAGTTGCAAGAAAATTAGATCCTCTGCCTTAAATAAGTTGACTGTGAATTCAAACTATTTAGGTTATAATTGTATTCTTTCCTCTTGACAAATCTAAACTTATGTTGGAATAATAATGATATGTGAGGCACTTAAAACTGATTGTAAATATCGTTTTCTACATTTTATTTTAAATAAAGAAATGCTCATTTGCTAAGTGGATATTCTGTCTCCTCAACAAAGCATGGATAGCAAAAGTCATTAGCATAATAGGAATGCTTGCAAAAGGCCCTTGGAATGCCTAAACTGAAAATGTACACTACCAAGGACTTGGAAAGAATCTCAAACTCCAAGGCCAAAGAATCTACTGCATATTAATCTTCTTTATCAAAAAAAGTTGATTAGGGTAGGAAAGGCAAAAATAAGCCTATTGTGCAATAGCAAAAAATAAAAAAATAAAAATCAGCGTGGGCCTGCGAGGAAGGGTAGAAACAGGCTACATTGGGAAGAGAACAATCTGGGGGTCCTAATTTTGTCACCAATCAGCTTTGAAATCTTTAGCCAGGCATTTCAGGCCTATGGACATCCATTTTCCATTTGTAAAAGGAGGGGATGAAACATGTTTTCCCTGTTTGCAGGGCTTTTTTCCCTGACAAACAATCTCAGAGCAGCAGTTTTATGACTTAACCAAGGTGGCAGAGTCCAGAGAAAGTTGGAAAAAAATCCTTACGAACTTCTTACTGGAGTTCTGCCTCCCAAGAGCACGTAATTCTTTTGAGTGAAAATATGCATGCAGATTCATCCAGCTGTTACCCTTGGAAAGGACAGAGTAAATATGTTCTAACTTATAAGAAGCCCAAAGTGTGATTACTCAGAACCCCTATGCACAAATGAAAAACGGTTGATTGTTCTGTCTCATCTATAGACTATAGACAATTCTGAAAGCTTTAAATCTCTCTCTAGAGTTAACACCAGTAGTGTGGGGGAGGATTTAGACAACAGACTGTCTGCATTTAAGATGAGAAGTCTCCTGGGTATGAAGGGAATCTATGATTTCATATTTTTGCCCTCAATTTTTCCTGACACATATTTCGAAATTTTCTCTTGATTCTTACTGTCACTGCTAGAATACAAGTGCATTCCTTTCTGCACACGTTCTGCAGTGTCATCAGCCTTCAGAGCATGTGCTAAGAGACTGAGTCAAGGGTTCTCCTGAGGAAATGTTAAAGATTGAAGAATTAAGGGTATGAAGAGACAGTGGGTTGGGGAACAGGTTGTTAGCATCCATTAGTAATTTCTGGCTATACAAATCACACTATAATATTTATGCATGGCCATGTAATTTCTAATAATGAATGTCAGGGACTGTTAAATTTATCCTTCAGATGTATTTGCAGACTATTTTGATTCATTTAGCCTACTGTATACCTAAGTAACACACTGCATTGCAGCCTGATGCATATGTAGTTAATGACATCTTTAGGGTGCTCACCTCTTACCCACGCACAACGTATCATATGTTTAATAAATACTTAAAAGTTTCAAGTGTACAATGTGCTTTTAGGGGAAAAGCTGGGAGTACACATGCCTAGAGAATGAAGTTCTGCTATTTCAAATAATTTTCAAAGTCATTTTTTCATACGCTAAGAGAGAAACTATACCTAAATGTAAAATCTATCATCATGAGCTATTTTGCTACACTAATTTACAAAAACTTCTGACTTGAGGGGAAAAAGTAGTTCAAAGATACACTACAACAATTTAATGCAGCAATACTACAAAACTTTAACTTTCTTTTTCCTAGCATTTTGTAAATGATCATTAAAGTTTCTTGATTACTTTGCTATTCTATTCCTTTTCCTTTTTTCTCCTCAACAAATCAATTTTTTCAAACACAGTAGGACTATAGTCCTTATTTTTGTCTCCCAGCGAGATGCTATTAGGGGTCACTTCCCATGTACGGAGAAAACAATCTTCATGGATAATAATGATAAAACCTTATGGAATGCAAAAACAACCAAAATATGTATTCTCGGATGACTGCGTAAGGGCCAAGTCAATATTAGTCCCACTTCACCCACGCACTACATAGTCTAAAAATGCTGTCAGCCTGATAAGAATGTCCTGATTTACTCTTTTTTCAATAAAAAATATAGGTCATCAAAATAAACTCTTAACAATAAAAGAACAGTAGTTATACTGCTGAGTCTCTTTTCATTTTGCTAGCCAGTTATGGTCAAATCATTGCTTTACAAAAAAAAAGAAAAAGAAAAAAAGAAAGAAAAGAAAAAAAAGAAGGAAAGAGAGAGAAAGAGAAAGAAAAAGAAAGATGGAGAGACAGAGAAAGAAAGAAAAGAAAGAAGAAAGAGAGAGAGAGAGAGAGAGAGAGAGAGAGAGAGAGAGAGAGAGAGAGAGAGAGAGAGAGAGAGAGAGAGAGAGAGAGAGAGAGAGAGAGAGAGAGAGAGAGAGAGAGAGAGAGAGAGAGAAAGAAAGAAAGAAAGGAAGGAAGGAAGGGAAAAGAAAGAAAGAGGGAGGAAGGAGGGAGGGAGAAAGGAAGGAGGGAGGGAAGAAAGGAAGGAAGGAAGGGAGGGAAAAGAAAGAAAGAGGGGGGAAGGAGGGAGGGAGAAAGGAAAGAGGGAGGGAAGAAAGGAAGGAAGGAGAAGAAAGAAATCTGAACAAGCCATTTTCATAAAAGCAACACAAAAATTTCCAAGCATAGTATCTCTCACCTAAATTCTGTGGCTGACTCAGCCTCATACCTACCCAAGCAAAGTCTAAATATAATATAGCCTAAATATAATATAGCAGAAGTTTATCACTGGGTAACTCAGTAATGATGACAATTCAGTTTTGGTTTGGTTTGGTTTGGTTTTGGGTCATTCTTTAGTTTGTGATGGTATTGAGGAAAGAATACAATTTGGGATCCCAGTCTCGGGGCTACTGTAAAAGTTGGGTTAAGTATTTGGAGTCATTTATTTATTATGGGAAACTAACTTTTATGATGGCTAATTTGTCCTTTTTCTGATACTGAATTTTACTCTCTAGCTCAAAAAATACGAACCAACCTCCACTATATATTTATGTTTTAGTGAAATTAATTACACAATGCTTAAACATAAAACCTTCCTCACAACTTCTTCTATAAGTTTTAAGGGGAAAGAAATCGTTCTGAATGTTTAGTAAAGTTTAAGTCTTTGTCCCCATGATGATTGATAACTGAATGTCTCTACAGTCTCAGAGATGGAGGAAAGGGTACTTTATCTGGGACTGACAGTTTATAAAATGCTTAAAATTGGTATCTCGGGTCTCTGTGCCTGCCTTGCCTTACTTGAACCTAAATGGTTTTCCTTGTTACTTATAATATCTTTCGTACCGAAAGCTGAAGAAAAACATAATAAAAATGTTTTAATCTGTCACCCTTGAACACAAATCACAAAATGCTTTGCCATTGCCCCCCCAAATTAATTTTGCTTTAAATTGTTAAAGCTGCTGACTATTAAAAAAAATAATAGCGAGAAAGTAGGGCTTTTTCTTCTTTTGTCCTAATTGGTCCTGGTGAAACTGGTACATTTTAGCAGATGAAACTGGGGCATGTATCCTTCCAGAATCAACTGAATTTTACAGTTCCTAAATTTTAAATGGAAAGTTACGATTTTTTTTCCCAAAAAGTACACTATAAATCTAGCAAAGGGACAGAAGTAGAGGAAAAACAGAAAATAAAAACCAGATTAATTAAAGAGCCAAACCCTTAAGGTTGTAATGAAACATACGCTTCCTAAGAAACTTCGAAAAAAGAACAATAAATTCTGTGAATGGTCATTTCTTAACCATATCTAGTTATATTTCTTACATTTTATCAAATCAGTTCATCCTAATTCCCAGTCTGAGAACTCTGTTTTCGTATAGCTCCTGGTTACAAACATACACTTTTCCCTTTTCTTCCCTCTGACTGTAGCAGTAACTAAACCTAGACACACTTTCTGCTGCGTCCAGGAAGTCAGGTCTAAGGGCATGTAGCATCAAATTCCCCAGAGCCTACGCTCCCTTAGCTACCTTATCTCCTCAAGTCCTGGTCTCTTTTTAAGAATATTTCCAGTTCGTTACTCTTGGCATGGGGAACACCCAACATTTAGAGACCCAAGGTAATTATCTCTCAGCTGGGGACACAGTCAAACTGATTCCTTACTATAACAAGTTCTGTGCTTTGATGGGATGAGACAATGAATGAAGAACCTTGTAATCTGTCCCTTTCGTCTAAGTCGCGGTCTCAGGGAGACGGACTGTGGACAGAGAAGTTCAAGTAGCACTGGACAGATGTTGCACTAGACCAACGTTCCATCAAAGTCCCAGAACGGTGATTTTATGAGTTCAAGACACTCCTCTACCTCTGTGACACACTTCATCTTCTTAATCACAACTACACACTACCTTTCCAAAGAAACAAAACAGTTGGTTTAAAGTTTACTCACATAGTCCTAAGACAGATGCCCTTGGAGAGCTTCAGAGAACTGAGTCCCAAGAGCTAGTGTGGCTATGAGGGGCAGCCTCGGAGCTCCGGTGACAAGGCTCAATAAAGCCCAATAAAGCCCCTAGCCAGGTACTGCCTCTTACTGAGTCCCTACCTGTCCACCCGGCTGCTCTTCCCTTCCCCAAGCCTGTCTTCCTCTTCTGATGGCTTTCTGCTCAAAGGCGCTCCCGAATGTCCCAGAGCATCCTCCGTGCCACCCGTCTCGGCGGGATGTCGCCGGAGCCCCAGACCGATACTCGGTGCCCCTCGCCTCCGCCCCCGGCTGGCTGCCCGGTCGGTGACTCACCTGCTGGCCAGGTTGGGGCGCCGGATGGTAGCAGGCTGTGGGGCAGGTTGACGCTGCCACAGGGTTGGGCAGATACTGGGGCGCGCCATACGGCTGGGGGTGATACATCACCTCCGCACAACTCATGGCAGCCGGGGCAGCGGCGGCCCC